CATTACTGCGAGATTCAGTTGAATAAGTTGGATTCAGTTTTGAACCATTTTGAACTGGACTCGATCGCGTGGTACTCCTAACATGGGCGACAACGTGGTAACCGACGTGCAAAATCTGACCTTGACGGAGGATAAGGCATGAATCTCCCAACTTTATATACGACTTCTACTTCTCACGTTTTTTGAATATCATTAAACTATGCAGACGAGTTTACGTTTTCACATTTGTAGGACTGTTTATGGCGGTACTAAGTGGACACATGTTCGGGTTGGTTATGATGTTTTTTTCTTGTTTGATTCCCTTTTGTACTATTATTATGCTGCAGTTCTCGAATTCGTTGTTATTCTGTTGTCTAACAATAAAATTATGTTAGAATATGTCTTTTGTTTATAACATGTAACCAACCATTGACGTCAGGATCGATAATCTGATGTAACTTATGAGCATTGTTTCACGCCAAGTGTCGCCTGACACGCAACAATCCTTCGCGTCATTGAAAATTGTCATTCAAATTCGAATGATTTTTAATTCAAATTTTGTTTTCAGACGAAATCAATGAAGGCACTGAAGAAGAAACAAGCTGCGGAGAAGTCTATATCGGAGCTTAATCCTTGGCCCTCCTATATTCAGGTAAACTTAATAAAGTAATTGTTAAATCAATATGGGCCATATATATTGGGTCATTTAAAAAGTATCCGCGGTTTTTTCATTCAAAAATTGAACAAAAAACCGCGGATACTTTTTAAATGACCTAATATTAATATATCAAAAGTTTAAATATTTTGAAACTTTCTAAATATAATTACTTTTAATTTTTTAATTGTAATATTTTTCTATGCATATAAATAATAAATTAAATAAATTTAAGAAATGTAAACATAAATATATTAAAAGCTGATCTTTTCTATAATTATTGCTCATTAATTTCAATATACCTTCAGATTTGTTGATTTCTCTGTAAAGAACAAACATTGTGTGTGTTTTGTATAGAAATAAATCTACTTGCATATATCTATAAGCATTTTTAGCATGCATTGTATTTATATATTATTTATATAAAAATTTTTTTAATTGTAATTTTTGAAAAAATTTACAATGGTGCTAACTGTGTATATGTTGACGAATTGGTTTCAAAACAGTGAATTGAAAGTGTACTGAAATTAATAAACATTCGTGTATTTATTGATAATTCTTGAATTTAAAGATATAATTATTAGATCTTTATTTTAAAATGCAATTTTGTCTATATAGGACCGTATTGTATTATGGGATAAATTGAAAAAGCAATACGAGGAGACAATCGCAGCAAAGACTTCAATGAATATAACTGTAACTCTTCCGGATGAGAAGAATATATCCGCACAATCCTGGCGTACAACTCCTTACGATGTTGCGAAAAGTATTAGCCAAGGATTGGCAGATAATACTGTAATCGCAAAAGTTAACAATGAATTATGGGATCTTGACAGACCTCTAGAATTTGATTGCAAACTGCAGCTACTAAAGTTTGATGATGTAGAAGGTCAGCAAGTGTTTTGGCATTCTAGCGCTCATGTCCTTGGGGAAGCTATGGAAAGAGTTTATGGCGGCTGTCTCTGTTATGGTCCTCCTATTGAGAATGGCTTCTATTATGATATGTATTTGGGCGATAAGGGAATTTCCAACACCGATTTTCCATATTTAGAGGGTCTATACAAGAATATAGTTAAAGAGAAACAACCGTTTGAACGACTAGAAATGACCAAGGAAGATCTCTTGGAAATGTTCAAGTACAATGAGTTCAAAGTACGGATTATAAATGAGAGGATACAAACGCCCACCACTACGGCTTATAGATGCGGTCCGCTGATCGATTTATGTAGGGGACCACACGTTAGACATACGGGAAAGATTAAGGCCATGAAGATTACAAAGAACTCTTCTACGTATTGGGAGGGAAATGTTAACGCTGAGTCACTGCAGAGATTGTATGGAATAAGTTTTCCGGATACTAAACAATTGAAAGAATGGGAAAAATTTCAGGAGGAAGCGGCCAAACGAGATCATAGGAAGATTGGAAAGGAGCAGGAGCTGTATTTCTTCCACGAACTTTCGCCTGGATCTTGTTTCTTCCAACCACGTGGCGCATACATATATAACACCCTGGTTGACTTTATTCGTTCCGAGTATAGAAAGAGAGGATTTCAGGAAGTGGTCACCCCAAACATTTTCAATAGCAAATTATGGCAGACTTCGGGACATTGGCAACATTATGCGGAAAATATGTTTTCTTTCGATGTGGAGAAGGAAACTTTTGCACTCAAGCCCATGAATTGTCCAGGTCATTGCATGATTTTCGATGTTCGATGCAGATCCTGGCGCGAACTGCCAATCAGATTTGCAGATTTCGGCGTGTTGCATCGCAACGAATTGTCGGGTGCATTAACGGGTCTTATCAGAGTGAGACGGTTCCAACAGGATGACGCGCATATATTCTGTTCTATAGACCAAATTAAAGACGAGATAAATGGCGCTCTCGACTTTCTATGGCATGTCTATTCCATTCTTGGTTTTACGTTCAGTTTATGTCTATCTACGCGACCCGAGAAGTTCTTGGGCGATATAAAAGTTTGGAATGAGGCTGAGAAAGCATTGGAGGAGAGTTTGAACGCATTTGGTCAACCGTGGAGCCTTAATCCTGAGGATGGCGCATTCTATGGACCTAAAATCGACGTTACCATCCTGGATGCGCTTAAAAGGCCTCATCAGACTGCTACGATACAATTAGATTTCCAGTTGCCAATTAGATTCAATTTATCTTACGTTAAGTAAGTATACGTTAAACTTAAATTTTGGTTTAAAAAATTTGAATATGAATCATTCATTTTCTTGTATATTTACAGCGAAGCTGGAGAAAAAACTAGACCGATCATCATACACAGAGCTATTCTAGGCTCTGTAGAGCGCATGATTGCGATCCTAACCGAATCATATGGCGGTAAATGGCCATATTGGATCTCTCCGCGACAAGCGATGGTTGTGCCGGTAGCATCTCAATTCGATGATTATGCCTTCGAAGTGAAACAGAAACTCTGGGATGCTGGCGTTATGGTTGAAATCGACATCGACCCGAGTGATACTCTAAACAAAAAGATTCGTAATGCTCAGCTTGCACAGTTTAATTTCATACTCGGTAAGCTCTTGATAAATAAAATTATAAAAGAATTTGAATTATAGAATTGTAGATATATATATTATCGTTTGGTGTTCTCGTTATCTCAGCACAATAGCCAATAATGTTTTATTACAGTTGTGGGAGAGAAGGAACGTAATGCTGGCACGGTGAATATAAGAACGAGAGACAACGTAGTACATGGTGAAATGGCAGTGGACGAATTAATTACAAAGTTAAAAATTCTGAAAGAAACAAGAGATTCTAGCGGCGAATTAAAATAAAATCTTGATTCAGCAATTTTTTCAAGCAAATTTATTTATTTTTTTGCACAATATCTTGCTAAAGTTATAATAAATTTAATAATAATATGAATCCATTTTTTTTATAGTGAATTCTTTTTATGTTTAAGAAAATATACATTTTTAATTTTTATATGTACAAATTATTCTCTTTCCATAAATATTCTCTTTCCATGAAAATTAAGCTAGGGATTATTATTTATGTGCATTTTACGCATTGCAGCATTTATTATCAATGTAATTAAATATTTGGCCATTCTTTGTATACATTGTGTTTTATTATAATATAGCGATTATCAATTACTACGTTTCTATATATTATGTATTAGGTGTTGGAATTAATTCGTAGCGTTTTTTAATGAAAGAATGTTATTTATTTCACATGAGCATTAAAAAATACATTAATGAAAGTACTTCCCATCACTTGTAAAACGCTACGAATTAATTCCAACACCTAATATATATTTATAGGCAAGTGTTTTAATTTAATTGATTTTAATTTAATTGATCATTAATCGCATTGTACTGCGCACATGTACTGCTCCACAGAAACTGCATTTGCACATGAATTTGCATTGAATTAAAAAAACTTGATTTATTTTATTGTTACACAATGATAATCATGATTTATAAAAATAGTCTATTTCGTGTCTCTCTGATCAATATTATTTATATGTCACAGTCAAAGTGTTAACTCAATGAATGTATATATATTATGCATTTACTAAAGTTAACACTTTAACTGTAATATATATACGTGTATCATGTAAAAAAAAGATATATCACTATATATATATATATATTGGGTCATCTAAAAAGTATCCGCGGTTTTTTGTCACTAGATGTGTGTTGATGGTCATATATCTAATGACAAAGTACCGCGGATACTTTTTAGATGACCCAATATATATATAAGGCCTTGATCTTTAATTCTTTTAATATACATTCAAGTACAACTAAATATTCATACTGCAAATATCTGGCTTTCTCCATCATATTTATAACTTGATAAGCTTTTAGAATCTGTAAATTTAATTGCTCTTGTGCAATAAAACTTCAAACATTGTAATCTTAAAAATTTCATTTATTTCTGAATTTTTCTTTTTGCTGTGAAAAAGAGACCTGCGAAGCTCGAAAAAATCTTTCTCTCTCTCTCTTTCTCTCTCTCGGCTTTAAAAAGAGAGAATGAGCGAGCGAATTTTAAGTCAAAATAACGTTGGTGCAACCGGACTTAATATCATGATAAGCAAGACTAGCAAGACTATTGACTTTTATGCTAACATATGTCATGAATATTTGAATGGGATGCGCACGCTTCGAAATATCTGCACATTTTACATTGATATAACGATATTATTTATGATAATCACGAATCACGATCAGTCGATATACATATGCGCAAAATATTTTCCATCGACATTTTTTCTTTTAGCGCAGTAAATAATAATAATTCTTCGTATCATCAGTTTATCGCTATTGTTGTTCGCGTTATTATTGAAAGATGTATTTTCACAGCATACAGTATAACATTTGATCATCGCGGTAGTATCACTTCCGGGAAGAAACCGGAGCGACATCATGTAGTATGTGGCATTACGGGACGAGGAAGGTAACGGGAAACGAGACGTGGTGCGCGTGAAGGCGTCGTGGACTACAACTCCGAAAATGACGACGGTGGCGATTTCCCCAGCTATGGCTCATAATAACAGCGGAATAATACAAGTGGTGAACGAAAGTAACCTAAGTAAAATCGAGAGGTACGTATTTTCCTGTATTATTCTATCGCGAGTGCAGTTTGTCGGGGAGCGGCCGAAAGATAACTATCGATCCGCTTTGCAGCTTCCTCAACGACACGGCTTACAGAGAAGCCATTGAGAATTCTTCCAATTATAATAGCCGATTATGCCGGGAACGACGTCTTCGCATGCCCTTTCTCGATTCACAAACGGGTAAAATTCACAATGATTGTCTGTTAAATTTTATTCGATTGTAAAATTAATTGATTGACAGATTAATAGTGTTTTGATTTTATTGATTTATCAGTCTGATTTATTGATAATTCGAACATCCCATATAAATATTTATTTGGGAAAATATGAAATTATTAATAAAATGGCCTTATAATTAGTCTACAAAAATTTGCTTAAAAAAATGATTTTTTTAAATTACTATATTTGGCAACTTCTCTAATTGAATAACAAAGCGTATCAATTTTTAATTGGGTTAACTTTAAAATGCACAATACGTAATAATATTTTATAAATAAAAATGTATTAATTTATATTAATTATTAATTATTAATTAATTTTTATGTTTTGATACTTATATTAATTGTTATATATTATTTACAATTGAAATTATTGTAAAAATTCAACAATATGATTTTGTTTTTAAATGATATTATTGGAGTTAATTTGAAATCACAGGTGTTGCACAAAATCATTCTGCACTTTTTATGTCCTCGAGAGAAAGATTACCAGGCTTGTTACATGGTCAGATTTATACTTATCCAAGTAAACGATGGCGAAAGAAACGTCGACAATATTTAATGCATTATTTACATCCAAAACGAGGACTAAGAGGAGATACAGAAGATGGAACAGAAGGTGTAGAAACTATTACGCATGTAAATGATGATAGCAAAGATTCAGTAGCACTTAAAGGTAAATAAAATTGAACATCAAATTATATATAAACAAACTTTTATCGGTATTATAATTATTTTATTTAGACAGTTTAATTTTTCTTTTAAATGACAAATTGAATTTTTAGATGAACATAGTAAAGATGCTTGGTATTATGATGAACAAGATATGTTAGACATGGATGCCTATGAAGAACCTGATCCTGATAGCGATTATGATTATGAAGAGAGCTATAGCAGTAAACGTAAACGCAGAAAAACACGTGGAGGTGGTCATCATCCAGCTCGTAGTCATCCACCTACCACAGATAGTCCAGGCGGCAAACGTACAAAAGTAAATTATAAATTAAATATAATCAATATATAAATAATAGATACTTTAAATGTTCTTATATAATAAATCAATATATACAGGGTGTTTGATAATTGTTCTGACGGAGTTTGAGAACATGTAGAGCGGACTAAACTGATATGGAAAGTCCTCTATCATTTTGCAATTTTCGCAATAGTTAACAAGATATTAATTGCTAAAAATTATCGAAAATTGGTCTTCAATAATTTTTTTTACTCAAATGCTATCAACTTTACAGAAAAACTGCAAGAGACGAAAATTGTTTATTCTTTTCTCATAGAGCTCTAAAAATTTTTTAAGAATTTTTTCAGAATTTTTTAATACCGTATTTTCTCATGTTGTTAAAAATGAGAAAATGCAGTACTAAAAAATTGATAAAAAATTCTGAAAAAATTCGTAAACTTCTATAAGAAGAAAACAATTTTCGTCTCTTGCAGTTTTTCTGTAAATTTGATAGTATTTGAGTAAAAAATTATTAAAGATAAATTTTCGACAATTTTTAGCAATTAAGTCCGCTCTACATGTCCACGAACTTTGTCAGAACATTTATCACCCTTTATACATTTACTTTATAAAGGGCATTATATTTAGGCACCCTGTATACATATTTTTTTTAAGGCTATAAAGACATAAAAATTACACTTTACGCGAATCTTGTAAATAATCTGATAAATTGATGTGATTTTAATAATGTTTCATTTAATGCAGGGTGGTGGCCGTGGACGCAAAAAGACCAACTACGACTCTGTTGACACTGATAAACCGTTCGTTTGTGACCGTAAGTTTAATCATAGATACAACTACAAATGACCTTCTTGTTATTAGTACATTATAAACTATTTCTATTATCGTTATTATTGTTTTGACACTTATTATTATTATTTCAATTATGTTACAAACGGATGAATTTTTTGTTAAAAAGTTTGTTAATTTTGTTCACCTATATTCATATCAATATATATTACATCTTAATTATGATATAGAAGAATCTTTATTACCTTGAGTTTTTTATGATACAAAATATGATGAAAATTTGAAATAAATTGTTGAATATTGCAGTTGAATATATGATAATATATATAGTTTTGAATATAATCTTGTGCAATGGGATAATCTCCAGGCAATGATAATTCAGATACGTAACAAACTATAATGCGGAAAGGTGCTTTCTAGTCTTATTTTCTCATTATCGCGATGATACTTAATATTGTTTGTTCAGAGAGATAATATATATTAATGAGTATTTGTTTCAAGTCCAAATAGCAACACATAACAATTTGAACATAAGGATTTTATTTTGCGGAAAATCTATATTTTATCATTTTATTTTGTTCTTAAGTATGGGCAGTCATGGTATGATTCTGAGTGCAAGGCAGAGACTAGTCGTTTGTTCCAAATATCCAAAACTTTGTGCATAAAAAGTATACGCTTTTTCATATTTATGCTCTTAAATATTTCTCTAAATTTACTAATTGGATTAAAAATAATTAAATAATAGATATAGTCCTTACATTCCATGTAAATAGCTTATAATTATTCCGTTGTGTTAAAATTGAAGATTAAAATTTACCATATTGCAATCTAATTAAACTAATATATTTTATCATTCAATAATAATACTTCACTTTTGATTAAAGCCAAGCAAATTACTAACATATGGTATTGTTATGTCAATTAAAAGCTTGATTTTTACTTGGTACTTTACAATCATCACGTAACATTTAAGTACATAATCATAATAAAATTATTAAATCTTGAATCTTACTAACTTTTGTACAAGACATATGAGTATTTATTATTATGTCGTTTTTCGAGAAACAGCTCACTTATATACTCATTATGCACAAATTTATGGGATTCGATTATATTTAGCATAAGCAAGCAAAAGAAAAAGATAAAAAAGAATTAGAATAACTCTTTGAACAATTTCGATATTATTTGGAAGGAGTATAATGGTCATTACTAATTTGGTCAAAGTTTTCCAGACATAAAGTCTATGAATTAACTCGAATGTGCCTGCAATCTGTTTACTTCTTGAAACCACTCCTGTTAGACTAGCAGATAATCTAAAGACATTTGGTCTGGTTATATTACGCTCATGTTCTAGACACAATTTTAACAGAGTATTAAACTCATTTGTTGACTATCGAGCTGATGTTACCGGCCCAAATATCTTCGGACTAGCTCTACCTGCAATAATAACAGAGCAAGAATGTACTGGCTCACACTGTAGCGAGCTCATTCTGTAGGAGTACAAGCATCAAGCCTTGCATCGTATTAGTTTTGCTTCTTGGGCTGGAACTCCTTCACTGCTTGTCCACATATAGACTCGTAGGTGGATAGGGATGTGTACTGGTGCGGAAGGTGTGCAAATGCTATCCCTGACCCCGCCCTATCAGCTTTACTGTCCCGTATTACCTCCCTTGATCGTCCGTTAAACAAAAGGTCTGTCTTATCATTGGACGTTGCATTGGATGGATTGCGGGAAAACAGTATTTGCACTTTTGCAGTATGCAGCGCACGGTATAAGACCAGACCCGGTCTGGTCTACCATTACGGTCATTCCCACTCTACTTCCTCCGGTGATCCTGCTAAGGAACTAAGTCCCAGTCCTGCCGAAGTTGAACCTAGGAGTGTTGCAGACACCGCTGCTTCGAACCAGCCAGGTTGGAGCCAAAATCAGCTCAGTTTTCTCACTTTCCTTTAAGTCCGCGTTCCTTACCCTGCCTTTAACCTTTACCTTTCCTCTTCCCGCCACCTTCTCCATTTGCCATTGTCTTCAATTTTGTCCTAGTCATGCAACTACTCATCCAATAACTTATCCCAATATAACAATTTAATATATATATATTTTTTTTACATGTACTGCAAATGTGTGTGCATGCATTGCAAATAAAATATCGTGACATTTTCTCTTCTCTACTTTTTTAAATTTATATTTTTATAAATATGTATGTGTGTGGAATTTATACTTTTTTGCGATGTTTTTATATATTATGTGTCAAGCTATTTATATATCATATGAATGATAAGTGATACTCAAGCCAATGTGATATAAGCGATTTTATTTTGCATAATTATTTGTATAGATCTTTACGTATATACATATAAGATATATTTTACACGTAAAAATTGGAATGTTTTAATGAATGAAGCGATAATTATTTGTGCTGCATGTATTTTGCAGTAGCATGCTTTTGAGACAGAATAGTGAAATGTTTTTTATCTCCTTTTAATAGAGTATAAGAGAGAAGAAAAAGATCATCCTATAGGTTGGTATTCTTCGGCGCGATTACAACGTCGTGACTCTTGAGCGTTTTGTGTGTGTGTATGCGTGTTTCGTTTTCATTCTCTTCTTTTTCTTTTATTAATAGCTCTTTTTTTTGTATCCCTATTTAGCATGATTATAGTTTTTACGAATGAATCTAACAAGTGTAAGAGCCTCTTCTTTTCTTTGCTATTTTGACGCTTTTATTACTCCTAGAGCGATTTTGGCTTCGATTCTCCTATTAATGAATGTTGAGGCTTCGTTGAAAAATCAAATAGGTATCTTTCAAGTTACTAAGTAGTACTTAATATGTTTGAAAAGCCGTTTGTTTATACCTGTCTGTACTTGGAATCGATATATCTCGTCGTTATATCTTGGATTTTGCTGCTGGTGATGGAATGTACTGATTGACATATGCACTTTGTTATACTTACATATAATCAGATTTGTTTTCTTTGTTGTAACAGTCGGTTGAATCTTGTGAAATTTAGAATAATTGATTCCGTTATATGAAGATTGCGATAAAAGATAAATGGGCATTACAGACTGTTTATGTGTATATTATGTATTAGGTGTTGGAATTAATTCGTAGCGTTTTACAAGTGATGGGAAGTACTTTCATTAATGTATTTTTTAATGCTCATGTGAAATAAATAACATTCTTTCATTAAAAAACGCTACGAATTAATTCCAACACCTAATATGTGCACATAACAGATGTAGAGCAATTAGTCTGACATTATACAGAGTGTCCTTGTAATTGTTACTTTTATCGATTGATTTCTTCTACAAATTTTTTACTTTTTACATTATAACTATTAATAACTTCTATATTAAAAAACTATTAATAATAATTCTCGAATTAAAATTAACACATTGTCTGCAAGTTGTGATTCAGTTTCTTTCAATTTATTCTCCATTTGGATAATATCTAAAAAAAATGAATGTATACACAAAAAATGTACGTATACAAAAAATGAATGTATTGTAATATTCTTCCGATTTTTATCCGCGTCACTTATTGTGAGATGTGATAATGAAGTTAAAGAACTCTCTGTATATATTCGGATGAACTCATTGAGTTACAGTGTTGTGCAGTACCTAAGTACTGTAACTAATTGTAAGTACAAATTTAAAAACTATATTGAGGTACTTTTTTGATATTTACAACTAGATACCGTTCCTCATATACTGGTTATTTAGGTACATTTTGGATGATACTTTTTTGCACTAAGGCAACTTTGCTATACACAAGTTTGTATTATACATTTTGAGATCATCATATTAGAAGATCAATCTCAAATTAACACTGATATTTTTAAGTCAATTTGTTACATCAAGTCATATATATGTTTTGTTATTTTGATTGTAATTTCTATTTCAACTTTATTTGATTTGAAAACCGTTAAATTGTACGAATAATGATCTAAAAAAATTAAGGTTGAAATATTTACGATTTATTTTTTTATGTTATTACTTATTATTCTAATAAATTTATTTATACATTCAGATACTGTGTGCTGGCTTTTTTTGTAGGCATTTTACATTATTAATTAATTAAATTTATTTGAGCATTTCATATTACATTGTATTTTTAATCATGAATAAGTATTAATAAATGGATTATTTGAATAAAACTAATCAATGGCTTTATAAGTGTTTGTTTTATATTTTATATTAAATTCACTTGCATAAAATATTTATGTATGTACATATAAAATATATGTACAAGTAATATAATAAATAAATATCACTATATCAAAAGTAAAACCTGTACCTAGATACTTTTAAGGTACATTTAAGGTACCTGTATCTAGGTATTTTATTTTTCTAATATTTGTACTTCGGTACATTTTTTCCAGAGTACCTGTATCTGTACTTAAGTATTGAAAATAAGAGTATTTTGCACAACACTGTCGAGTTGCTTCTATTCCGGGAATATTCCTGGCCCTTGTAGATACACTTCGACATAACTGAATCGATTATGAACGGATAAAAAAAAGAGAGAAAGAGAGAGAAAAAGAGAAAGCAAGAAAGAGCGAGTGCGAGAGAGAGAGAGAGAGAGAGAGTGAATGAGAGAATGAGAAAAGAGTCGAATATGAATTTGTCTATTGTCTATTATATAAAGCCAGTGTGCATGGTCATCAGCTTGTGACGGCAAAGCGCAACTGGGTATGTTGATCGGTTTGTGATCAGGTGGTACACGTCGGGGTCGTCAAAACGCTACTTCCTCGAATACCTCGAGTCCTTCCCCGGCGGCGCCTACCGCCGCACCCACTGCGGGAACGGCGTCGCAGCCGCAGCAGTCGCAACAGCAGCTGCAATCGGCCGTGCAGCCGCCAGTTGCTCCGGCGTCACCTACCATCCCACCGACCAAGGAAGATCATCTCCCGACGGCATCTTCGCCTGGCGGTACCGCCGTTTCTTCGCTGCCGCCCGTAGAAACCGCAGGCACCACGGGCGGGCCACCCACACCCGGAGGACCATCCGCGGAGAAGAAGATCGGCGGTGGCAAGTCGTCAGCGGCGCAGCCGTCCCCGTATTGCGACTTCTGCCTGGGTGATGCACGTGAAAACAAGAAGACTGGTGGTTCCGAGGAGCTGGTGTCGTGCAGCGATTGCGGCCGCTCAGGTAAGCCAGAGGAAAAGATGAAGCGCAAGTACACCCGGCGAGCGAATCACAATTAACTCGCACTGTCGTCGGCGTGCGACGACAATGATGATGACCGACGACGACGACGACGACGACGACGATGACGATGACGATGATGATGACGATGACGACGACGACGACGACGACGACGATGACGATGATGATGGTAATCATGTAGCCACATGTATTTATTGAAATCAATATATTTCGGATCGGCACGGCGGTGAGAGCCATACATTTCTACGGACGGTACTTCTATTTTCTACGTCTCTTTGCGAGCCTATCGCGCATTGCGTTCTGTGCATACATAGCCAAATACAACTCAAAAAAGAAAAAAGGAATCACTTTGTTGCAATATCTTGCGTACGCTTCCTCGCGATACGCGCGAATGTGCGAGGTGATCAGCAGCTTATTTACGGGATGTACATGATTTAGATCCGAGCCAGCAATGTAAGATTGATTTTAATTTTCATTCAATTTACTGTTTATCATTTTCTAATAGAATTAAAATTTTAAAAGTTAGAAAAAGAGAACAGTAAATTAAAATTAATCTCTACATTGATGAAACCGAGTCTTACTGATTACTTAGCGACGCGATGATTTAGTCGGCAGTTCGATGCCGATATTGAAGCGCTACGAAGAATATTGGGTATATACATATATATAATGTATATATACACACGTGTTTATGCTATATATAATCGTTTATACTTCCATGTTTCAGCTGTTAATATCGTGAAAGACATTAAGTAATTCGTTAATTTTACGAGCAAGCAAGCAAGCAAGCGTACGTGCCCTTCCTTACGCAAAGAGGATCTCGCTGTTCTTCATTCGTGTATTCCAAACGTACCTACAATTGTTAAACGTGCAATCGAGATGTTTAGAATTATCTGTTACATTTGTATAATCCTTTTTTGCTTTTTCGTTAATGCGTTAATCACGAACGAACGGTATGTGTACGCGTAGCCGTTAAAAGTGTGAAGTGTCCAATTATCAGCTTTTACAGATCACGTCTCCTTAATATGCCTTAGATTTACCGAGATACGGGGGATAACTTTTTGAGTTGTATAGGGTTACAGTTGTCGCGTGACGCATTTTGTCACTGCCGCTGAGGGTAGTAGAAAGCCTGAAAGCCATGCTGTTGCAACTGAGTGCAATAATTAAAAGAAGAGAAGCATTCAATTATCTGCACAGTGTAGATCAAACGGTTACGAGCTTTATATACACTAGTCAAGGCGAGGAATACAAAACATCGTTTTGTCAATGGTGCAACTTGTCGCATCTGAGTAATAGGAATTTTCAGGAATTCCTTTACTACGCGAATTTGCTGTGATTTATAGTATCTCAATGATTAGTTCTAAGATATATTGAATCGGTAACGCGTAATTATTACGGGAGAAAAAAAAAAGGTACGAAACTAAAAAGTCTTCATCTGAAGTCAAATTTTCGTCGTGTGTGTGTATGCGTGATTGGAGCATCGGTAGCATAAATCGATCGTCTGTTTTTTTCGCGGAATTATACGCAAATTTGTTGAAATTCCTGTTGCACAGTACCACCAGAGCACGTATTGAGGAGGATGTGTTTGTCTTCTGTTTGACAGTGTATTCCGATATTTTCGTTATTGTGTTAGAAATCAAAAGAGAAGGAGGCGACGTACGGCGTGAGAAACGCATATATATATATATATATATATATATATATATACATATACTTTATATATCCAGCACAATCATGAGAATCGTTTTAATGAAAGCAACGTATTTATTGTAAGATAACGAGAAGTGTTGATCGCGTCACATTTCAATATTTCTACGTTTTCCGCTTGTAAATATAATATACTTTGGTGGCTTTGCGTTTGTTGAATATTATGAGGTTTTAGATGATACGAGCTAAGAGCGCAGCGCAGAAAGAGGAATAACGAAAGAGAAGAGAATGCAATTCTAAGGATCTCCGTACTTTCCGCGACTTTGAAAGAATTTTGAGTAAAAGATTAAGTAACGACCGAGTAGAAATGATGTTTTATCTATTACGATTGGGATAATTTCGATTGGTTTAATGACTTGTTTAACGACTCGTTCATGTGTTCATTATATTTATTTTTCTAATTGAAAAATAAATCTCTCCGTATCTCTCAGAAATTGAGCAGGGATTCGTAGAAATGAGAGAGACGTTCTCTACAACGTGAGATATGCATTTTACATAGCCATGTAAAATGTGCCGTGTAACAATCTTTTGTTGAATAATAAAACTATTGTATTTTGAGTAACAATTTGTCCCCCAGACAACTTATTACTCAAGAAGCCTCATTTTACATTCTCACATAAGCTAGATTACGATTATTAATGTTTTCCATGTAGAGCGCTTTATGTGAGATGGTATTCTGAGGTAGAGAATTTATTTTTTAATTGTATAACATAATGTTAGATGTGTATCGCGGTGATGTATCGGATTTCGTTGTAAAGATGAAAGAAGAAAAAGAGAAACGCGATCGCGCGCGTTCTTGTTTAATCAGAACTGCTCGTTAATTTTTTCTAATATGTCGCACATTCCATTGTATCTGCCGCTCTTAATTACCTTTAGTTGTGGGCATTAGCTTCTCCGACCTAATATAGTATACCGCCCCCTTTGCTATTACTGTTATTTGTAATGACGCAATATATTTATTAAATATATTTAACAAGCAAGACGAAGATAATGGGATAAAGCTACATTTACAGACGAGATAAAAGAAATTTTTTTTCATTATCGAGTGTTTTAGTTAGGTATCTTTCTAACGATTGCGTCACACATAAACGTGACTAATATCTTCTTGTAGAAATCTGACATAGCTTAGTTTTGTACAAGCTTTGATACTCGTACAAATATCATTTGATTAGGGATAACAAGATACCGTGTACGAAATTAATGTAATACCTTATGAGTTTTTCAAGCATAGACAGCGCGAGAATGGCGTTGAAACTATCTTTGACTAAACTCGAATTATTTTTTATATTTTTTAATTATATAAGCATATTGCAGTTTTACATATCGCTTACTCTACATACGCTACATAAGTCGTACAACTTTTTTTATTTCCTACGCGTATAGACGTATGTACGCTGTTTTTTTTTTATATTCGACTTTTGAAATCTTTGGAAATTATTTACAGCCGTGAACCAATCGTCTTCTTTAATCGTACAGTTTCATGTTACAGAGTACTTTTTAATATACACATATTATGTAACTCGCGTATAGAAGGCTATCGACAAAGATATGTTACAGCTTCTTTACATATAACATACGATACAACGTAGAATATTCTATTATTTAACATGATATAGCTAATATGGCAGACTAGAGGGTACTACATTTCAGTTTTCTTGTATAAATTAATATTATATTATCCCTAGATTGTCGTAAGAAAAACTCACATGGTATAAAAACAATGGAAGCATGCAGATATATAGTTCCTCCTTGTTATATATAAAATTGAAGATTTGTTATTAGGCAGTTTTAATTAAGCAATACCCAATGAGGCTTATAAATATAGTATTTAAGTCACACTAGTTATATATAAATATATATATGTGGCTTCATATATATATATGATATATATAAAGAATGTGATACGTTATATGAGTTGCGTGTTGTGTGTATGACAATGAAAGAAAGAGAGAATTTGCGAGAGAACGCGAGGGAGTGAAAGAGAGCGAAAGAAAGAGAGAAAAGGAGCGAGGGAGAGTGTGCATCTGCGACGTTTATATTGTGCTGCGCAAGAAAGAACGTGAACTATTCCAAGGTACGCCCTGCTATTACTTACCACCTATTATTCCAAATAATAACAGTATGTTCAAAATGCAACATCAAAAAAAAAAAAAAGGAAATTACAGATATCATGAAATAAAATATTCTGTGCGGAAACATGAGGACGTATCATTATTCCGGACGTTTTTAGTGCTGAGGAAAGGTGAAAGACATATAGAGTCGTACTTTTGTGGATCAAATTTCTCATGCTCTTTCTTTCTTACATGTATAAAAAAAAAAAAATTTGATTTGACGATGTGACGATGAGAAAGCATCGAAAAGTAAATGATTTATGGAAAAAAATAATTAAAAAAATGAATAGCTTGGAGTTCACTGTTCTTCGGCACAAGATAACTGTCCTGGCACCTTTCTACTCGCATCCCACGACAGACTCCTCGTTCCATCCCACTACGTGTTCCTTGACGTGCGTACGTTCTTGTTATAGGGCATCCAACTTGTTTGCAATTCACTGCAAACATGATCGTTTCTGTTCGCAAGTACAGGTGGCAGTGTATCGAATGCAAATGTTGCTCTATTTGCGGCACTTCGGACAACGATGTAAGTATCTATTCCGCAATCTCTTTCGCAGGCTCTCTCGTAACACCTAAGCAATGAGTTTGGACGGTAATAGAATTCGCGCGCGAGCGAATAGTACGAATAATACGGTATCGATCTAGATTTCATTGTAAGAGAATTGCTGAATTATTGGAGAATCTTATCGGATCACGTTACATTATGTTCACGTTTTTAAATTTTAACTCGTGTCTTAAGTAATTTTAACACTTATTCGTTAAAATCGACGAGTTTAACGCGCTGTCAGACGAATTTATCGGCATTGAAATTTGCAAGAATCGTTGAAAATAAATGTATTAATATTATGCGCTTTACACAACCATGGATTGATTTGATATTAACGGTATATTTGGCGAACTAAAATAGGATCAGTTGCTGTTCTGTGACGACTGTGATCGTGGCTACCACATGTATTGTCTGTCTCCGCCTCTTGCATCACCTCCCGAGGGCTCCTGGTCTTGCCGCTTATGCATAGCCGAATTTCATCGCCGTGATTAAGTCCACTTTCATAGATAAGTCACGGAGCTATCCATTCGCTGTGGTATAGCGGTCATCTTATTAGGAGAATTAGGAGAGTATTCACGGGCTCATCCATATACTATAGTATTACTTATACGGCGTTTACACACCGGCAAATTTATTCGAGAAGAAGAAAAGAAAAACTGAATGGCAACTTCATCGATTTACTATTTATTATGAAATTTGCATTGATCATCAATTACCCGGTTAAATTAAATTATGTTAATGATAATGATAATGATAATAATAATAATAATAATAATAATAATAATAATAATTAAGAAGATACGTTTATATAGCATACTACATTAGATATCTCAGGCACTGGTGATCTCAACGAGATAAAGATGTAAGGAAACACATATTTATAATTTAACTGAGGTAGCTTCTACGAATAGATGTATAAAGATATGCCGCAACCCAACTGTTAGCAAGGTTCCATAAGTGGAACGGAGACAAAGAGATTACTAATTTTAAAGACAAAGACGGAGTTCGATTTACCGATGATGTTAGATTTTACATTCGTACTGAACAAAGTGTATTTTTTGCTCATTTTAGAAACTGACGCGTGTGTATATACACTCTACAGCGATATTACTACGTGAACGAACGAAACGAACGATAGAGATTTAATTAAAGATCGCTAAATAGGACAATACTCTCCTAGTTCTAGATTCTACTCTACTCTTAGTCAATGATATTTGAAATTTTGTTGCTTTCCAAACTTTTACAGTTGCTTAAATTTAAAATTTGGCGATCTTTCGAGTTTTCACATTAACTCTTAGCTCCTCGCTATCGACTTGACTCGGGCCACGTTTCATAGAAAAAGAGGAATACGGAAAAGAAAACGAAAGAATTCATATTCTAGATCATGATATTAATAGTATTTGTTCCATGAATAGTGATAAATAGAATATTATCTGTTTCTCTGTATGTATCATGATACTAAAAGCTTTTACACATAGCTATTAGTAGCGGACATAGCTGTCATATACAGACTTGCAGTACTGGAGGAAAATTATATTCTACATGTTCTTCGTCATTTATAGCTCAGTATTTTTATATTTTATATATTAAATGTACTTAATTTAAGACGGCGCTGTGGGTGATATTTGGTATATATATTCGTTGATTAATACAAAAACCTCCTTTTTCAATTTATCGATCTTATATTACCGCCTAATTGTATTATCATTAGACTCATACACTCAAATTTCTATCAACTCACTCTTAAGTTCTTTTTTTTTTTCTAATTAGAGCGACGGATTTATATTTTATATTGCTTATTTTTAACATTATGTATACAAATTTGAAAATAAACATTAGTTTATACAAATCGGATTATTAAGTTTAGAACAGTCTTATTGCGTGCCATTGTATACTTCTTATTCAACTCTCTCTCTCTCTCTTTGCAGGAGAAAGAAATATAATAAACAATATGACTCACGAACAGGTGCTATATTTCAGGGATTAGCTTTTCTTTCGAATGTTACGATTACTTTTGTAATATTGGCAGCGATGTTTTAAGCCAAGGGGCACTACATTCTACGATTATAGTAAATAATTATTATCCACAAAATGTAATGTAAGATATTAAAAAAAGTTAGTAATCCGAAAAATATAAAATTTTTCATAAAAATAGCATTAACATAAATACATGTTGGATTGTTTATTTCAAATACTCCCATTCTCATTTTTCCATGTAAATCAAGAAAAGTATGAAATATTCTTGCGATTTTTTTTTTTAGCGCATCAAACAATAGCTGTAAGGCATCAATTGTGTAATCTATACTTCCGTTAATCGATCTCGACTAGGATTTCAGTCAGATCTTTCCGCTGCAAATCGGGTACAGTGGCATCTTTAGCTGGATAACCGACCGGCAGAAGTAACACTAACTTCTCGTTGGATGGACGTCCAAGGATATTGCGTATTGCTGGTCCGCAATTCATTGGCGTAGATGTAAGAGTTACCAATCCGGTGTACTATATTTAAAAATGGTGTGCAATAAATTAAATATAAATACAATCATTACATAAGTGAAGTATCACAAAATTTATGAGATACAGTTCGTAATGACTCGTTTCAAAATTTTGTTAATAATCTGATCAGAAATCATTTTTTTTTCAAATCGATACTTCCTTCTATTTGATAAATTAATTTATTTTAGTTATATATATTGATTTTTGTTTATATATATTTGATTTTTTAGTTATATATATTTGATTTTTCATGAATGATAAAAAAGATTCTTCACAGAAAAAAAAGATTTGTTTTGAGATAACTTTTGATACAATCATACAATTATAATAAATTAATAAAATAATAGTGATAAATTATATGTATAGATTCATGATTTTTGGCATATATGATGGGAATCGTCAAATCGTTATGTTCATGACTCGTGAAATCGTCTTCAGTGATATTAATATACAAGGAAATATTTTAATTCACCTGTATAGCAGTAATGAGAATTCCACATGCGATAGAAACGCTCATTTCATTATAATAATGAATCTTTTTCTGTCCATTTGGCAAAATGCCATAAGTTTGCTTGAACACAAGTATCAAGTACGGAGCTGTGGTGAGGTATTCCTTTATCCAGTTAGTCCTTAGCGGAGATAAGTCAGTTGTCCACTTTATACCCATCCTCTTTTTGTAATTGATTTTTTCCTCTTGCTCTACGATATCTCTAATGTTTGATTTCGTAGTCGGATCAGATATTGCAATAAAAGTCCATGGCTCTGTATGCGCGCCGCTGGGAGCAGTACCTAAATAAAAAAAGAAGTCTTGTAACTTGAAAAGATGAGATGCGTATACGTAAGTATCTTGAATCAGCTTGTTTTAAGTACCTACTCCTAATATTCTAGAGTATTAAAGTTTAATGTCGATATTTTAACGCATAATTTATGCTATGAATCATTTTTTTTCTTTATTTTTATTTCTATAATAACTGTTTACATCTTGAAAATGTTTAAAATGTTTTGGATTTCAATTTTTTAATCGTACAGTGTTTTCTGGATTTAAATTTTTAATATTGGAACAGATTTTACTTGATAAATATCATCGAAATACCTGCGGCTCTTATAAGTTCACGGATAACTTCCTTCGGAATGGGATCGTCGCTAAAGAATCTTAAGGTTCGCCTCGCTGCAGCTATTCGATAAAATTCTGACGCACGAGCTAATAATTCCTTTTCGGATTTCCGGACGTTATGGTATGGTATATGCTTAAGATCGTGTGGTAAAGCGGGCTCCACTTCAAACGATCGTTCATTCACTTCTGGAAGATAGTAATATAAAGAAATTGTTATCTTATCAAAATGTTCTTATCATAAAATGTGTATAATTAACATATATATTACGGATAATTTATTAATTGATAAAGATACAGCAGAGAAAAAAAATAAAATTCAAACATTGTATTAGGTGTTGGAATTAATTCGTAGCGTTTTACAAGTGATGGGAAGTACTTTCATTAATGTATTTTTTAATGCTCATGTGAAATAAATAACATTCTTTCATTAAAAAACGCTACGAATTAATTCCAACACCTAATATTTATTTTGGCGGAATAAAATTATATAATATTTAATACGTTCAATATGAAAAAAGAATTTTAGATTCTCTTTTTAAAATCGAAAACGGAATAAGAATCACATAATCGCGAGATAGATTTTTTTAACACTAAGAACTATCGACAATTAATTATTTTAACTATTTAAACTTATTGTTATACTGATTTGGAACACAAAAGTTAATAGCGGTACAAACTTCAAAATTTAAGTGGTTGTAATTTCATTAAAAATAAAGAAATTTATCTAAAACTTTGTTCTATCGAATAGTATAATTGCCAATTTTTGAAAAAATCATGTAAACATGATCCAAATGAAGTAGCGCTACACATTGTTTTGACTTAATTATTTTTTAAAAGTAAAGAATAAATGGTAAAAGTAATTGATCAATTTACATACTAATACATTGCGACAAAAATCACGGAAAATCTTAGAAAAAGCACTGTAAATAAATTATATAAAAAATAACAAATCAGCTATTTTGATCGCTTTTTAATAGCTGCAAAACGTAAAAATTATATAAATATAAAATTTCTGATTATAATTAACTCAACAAAATTGAGCATATTAATCATTAGTTTTTACTCTTGTCATTTCCTTAATTATCGTTATTAAATCCTTTGCGATATGAGTGATGAATCTTCATCACTTATTGCAATAAAGGAACTGATTTTAAAATTTCAAGTGAAAAGACCTAATATTTTTCGCCGTTTCTTCACGGATTTTTTCCAAAATAAAACGAATATGATTGACATTTGAATCCAACGTTTTATATACGTAAAAGTATCCATTGCGACATTACTTTCACTTGATTCCTTAGATTTCTCGGTTAATACACTCGTCCCACTTTGCACAGTTCTTTGAACCAAATGTTCGAATAATTTTTTTAACAAAATGAGCGACACAATACCAATGATTATGTGATAAAAGTACTTGATCGTGAAGGGCAAGTATTCGGCGAACATTTCTACGCACAATGCAATTGGTTATGCGACTATTCACATGTTACTGACATTCACTATCGAGTGAGACAATGCAAGTTGCACGAAAGATAAAATGAAATGACGTCAATGATTGCATTCAGTAAAAACGCAGTTTTGCAATTGTCGCAAAATTGTTTAATATAGTTGACTCTTCACTGGATAAGTGATCACATCAAACTGATCACATTACAAAATCTTACAACAGTTATAAAATTACTTTTTCTGTTAAACGCAGCCGCTATCAGACATTCACCACCATCACTTAAAAATATCGAATATACATAATTTCAATTCAAGCGCGAGCTACGCTGCAGGGAAAGGAAAGGAGTGGGGATCTTTCTTTTCTCTCTCTCTCTCTCTCTCTCTCTCTCTCTCTCTCTCTTCGTTCTTCAGTAATTAAAGATTTTTTTCAAATAATATATTTTTAACGATAATTTTGTGATGAATTCTTGACATGATTAATGATAATGATTAAGTAATTTTTTAGTTAAAAAAGCACATATAATTATTAATTATGAGATTATTATCAAGAATTGTGTTTAATGCCATTTTAATCTTATTACTATTTTATATTCTATCTATATATGATCTGATGATTATACAACTCGTAAATTATGATTCTCGTTGATCACATTCAGCAGAAAAAGTAACTGTTGTAAGATTCTTTAATAATTGGTTTATGTCTCTAGTTCCATGGATCTAAATGTAAAGTAATCAAATCCTATATGACCTAGTATTCAATATTCATTGTTTGTAGATACAGAGAGAAACCTGTAATTAATTACACGATGAATTTACCAAGATAACATTAGTAAAACATGCAGGCTATCCGTCTGACTCGATTGTATTAGTATATTGTTCAGTTGTTCATTCTGTTATACTATCAGTAAAGCAAAATGCAGAACGTCATGATTATGACGTTCTGTAGTTTATATTATTGCAGTTCTGTATTTATACTTTTATAACAATGTATTTAATATATATCTTCATCAGAATGTTTTGTTTTTAATAAAACAAGAGAAATTCTTTATAAGGTAGAAACAATATAGCCAACTTAAATATATTGAATGTATACACATTGATTGTAATGTTTTTTTTGGTACTTCTGTTATTCCAAACTGTATATAGATTTTAATTTATTTGCTAAACATCGTAGAGATAAATAAGTAAATAAGCGATTATTTGGAAAGTAGAGAGTTCTTTGTGTATTCTTACATGTCAATAAACACGTTAATGTGTTAATAAACTTATAATCGTATAAAAGTAACACTGCATCACTTTATTTTCCATTTTTCTAACATTTTTTTTAAAAAAAAAGAGGAAAACATATATTTAGATTATATTGGGTAAACACACGTGTACTACTATACTTTTTAAAATCTTCACTACAGTCATATAAATATTTGAAAAAATCCCATACCTTTTTTTATGTTCAGAAACGTACTTATCCTCTTTTGAATCTGACCAACAGTTTTCAATTTTAAACTTATGAAAAAATGTTTTTAAATCACAAAGCCACATAAATAAAGTCCTATTATTTTCTACATAATTAATTGTATTAAAAAATCTTATAACAGTTGCAAAGTCGGTTTTTCTGCTGAACGTAGCCATTATTAATTATTAGGTGAGAGGTTAAAAAATGAGCGATATTAATATGTTACTTTGAACGTTAAATATTGTTACAAAATATTTTGGTTTTATTATGAAACTACTGGCCAACAGAAAGAGGATTTGTTGAACGCCTCCTTGTTTACTTTTAATATTTTGTCTGTTCTCCTAATGGAAATATTTATGCCTTAAAGGAACAAGCAACTTTTCAGCAAGTTTTTACAGAGGAAATGATGAATTTTTCTTTAGAATAAATGTGTCTTATGAGATACAAGTCAGGTTCGAGCGAAACTGTTTTTTGAATCAAAAGTAATAATATAATGATTCTATACTCCAAAATGTCCTCTCCAAGGAAAATTTTACTCACTAAGATGTAGTATATATTATGTGTACTGTATGTACATTTTGAATAAAAT